GAACTATGCAAAACGTATCTGTGGTCTGGTCTCAGTCAGCATTTCCTGATTATCAAAAGGATTTATTCATTTACAGAGTTTGGGATAACTCTGCTCCACAATTTTGGTATGCAATACCAGTGCAAATCCTTTTACATCAGAACCATGTTTCAAGTAATTTTTGCTTTTATTTTTATCCTTGCCCTTCTTTTATATGAAGCAGAATTTATTTACCCTTAGCCTCAGAACATGGCATACTAACAAAATGTATGGAACAAACACCACTAATATACCTGGAGTGTAAAATAATTAAGGAAATTCAAAGGATTAGGAGGAGATAAGAGAGAGATTGCTGCTGGGCCTGTTCTTTCAGTTTCATTTTTCTCATGAACAAGCATACATAATTTAAGAAATAGACAAATGGATAAATATACAAGCAACTTTTCCTTTTGCCATCACCTTCCATGAAGCTGAGGAGTAACTACAGGTTTCTTTTTTTGCTTCAGCTCATTGTATTCATGCAATCCAAGGACAGCACCTTCTGCTGCTGCTTGAGCATCTCCACAAGGGTCCACTTCAACACAGGGGATTTCCAGGTCTTGGATCTGTCTACAACCAACTGAAAAATACAGTACAGGATGAGTAGGTCATATTGCACAGAAAAGCAAAACAGGTGTCTGATACGATCTATGTAACACCTCAAGGAAAAAAGTTTACTTATGATACCTAAGTTCATAAATAAATTAACTGAAATGAACATGTAGTAAAACAATTTTAAATGCTGATTACCACGTATTGACAAATCGCGATGAAAAATGTAACTTGATAAATTCCAACAATTGGGCCCTAAACTTCTGATTCCTTTAAGCTTGGCCCATATCAAAGAAAGTCTCCATTATTCTGGAGTGTTATGGACTATGAGTATAGGTATCAGATATTTGCTGTGATTTAGTTTTTGCTTAGGCTCTGTAACTGTTCTTTTCTCACAAAATAGTTTATCCACGCTTTTATGAACAGTATAACATGGCAGCTAGTGAGACAGTCTGGTCTAGCTCTTGGGACAGAGAGCAGTCATATGCGTGCGACTGACCTCTTGTCTCAGCTCATAACTTACGTGGTTATGATGGAATATGCGGCACCATTAAAAGACTTCTCTAGATGAAAGGCTTAAGAAAATTAGAAAAGTTAACCTGCAACAGCTGCACGGATATTTTCTTTGTCTTCATTCCAGTTTTCTTGGTCATTTATTCCAGCATTCTTCTTACCCAAACCAACTACAACCACGCTTGGAAAGTCCTACACAAAGTCAACACACAAATGGATTCCTCATTGTTACAGCCACAGCACAGGGTTGTTACAAAGACTACACTTCCCAAATCAAGCCAAACGGCATTAAAATACATTCTCTTTGTTACAGATTTTCTTCTTAAAAAGTGTGGTAACGCTGTCTTCCACTCTCAGTCATTTGCCACAGGGATCCAAACAGTTGGGCACTGTTTACACTTAATTGTTGTAGCAGATATGGCTTTATGCTCACCATACAGCAAAAGATACTTCTACGAGAAAGTCTAAAAGTCTTAAAAACAAATCCAGCTTTTGCTGCAGAACAGAGGCCCGATGTGAGCTGCCTAAGTGCAACCATTTTAGCTCAGTAGTACATTCAATCTAAAAAAGTCTCTTCAAAGCCTAAGCCTTGGGACCTTCCAGGGGTCTTCCACGAATACATGACAGCCTTTTAGCTGGGTACATCACTCGTCTGTTGTGCACATGGTAACTTACAGGTGACAGGCAATAATTCCTACAACCTGATTTGTTTAAAATCTGTACATAGCCCTAACATGCGATGCAATTACTCACACGGGGACACCTAGCGGCTGCCTAGCAGCACTCCGGCAAGTCACAAATCGTATTCGTTAGCTCCGTGCAAAGGCATTAGATGTGCTGGGACCTCTCAAATGGCACCAAAAGCACACCTTGAAGCGGGTGATATGTCATATCTGTGATGCACACCAATGAACCAAGCTTAAAGTAAGCCATAAGGGCAAATCTCACACATCAGAAATACACATATGAAAACGCACTGCCCGTACCTGATGCAAACCATGGAATATGCGTGCTTTGCCTTTCTTCAGAGGGGCACCGCATCTAGAACACAAGAAGCTTCTTCCAGTGAACAGGTCCGTACGGTAACAAAGTTAAGCTGCTGCGTTCAACCCACAGCCACACAGCGCCGCACACTGCGCCGGCTCATCCCGACAAAGAGCAGCCCCCACAGATAGTTCGCATCTCTTCCCCAGGAGCTTCCCTCCAAGCCGCGCGGCCTGCGAAGGGTTACGTGTTTAAACGCTAACAAGGACCAAGCACACCGCCCCGCTCTTGCGGGCGTTTACAGGCGCTTCCACCTCCCCCAGCGCGGCACGCAGCACTCACGCGGCCAGCAGCTCGCGCAGCCTCCCGGACACGCGGCCGTCGAACGCGTCCCCCGCCGCGCTGAGCTGGGCGCCGCCGCCCTCCCGCTCGCTCGCGTAGGCTCCCAGCAGCAGGGCCTGCGGAAGAGCACGCGTTAGTGCTGGCAAGAGATTGGGACGGACGCTGTAGTGCAGAGCGACGCCGGTCGAGCAGGATGAACCGCCACAGATACAGCGTAATAAAGGAACGACCGCTTTGCGTCCCTACTAACGAAAATACTTCCGATTTGTAATTTACAAGCACACAGAGCTTTTCCTTCTCGGGCCCCCAAACGTGGATCTCAGCCAGGATCCCCGAGCAGCGCGGCTCTCTCTCGCCCCTCACCTTCCCGCCCGCCCCCTGGCTGTAGCCCCGCGGCAGGGCACTCCGCTGCGAGCAGCTGCACGCCAAGGGCAGAACCCGGGCCAGGCGGCACGCGTCCGCCCGCCGCACCCACGGCAGCAGCATGGCACGCAGCCCCGCGCGGCGGGCCGACGGCTGATCCCGGCGCACCGCGCGTCTCATCAGCCCGCGCCGAGCGGGGCCGGGCCGGAGGGCGGGGAGCGGGAGGCGGGGCTCTGAGAGCGAGCTTTGCTGCGAGGCCGGGACCGCGCGGGGACGTTAGGCCACGACGAGCAGGGTTGCTTGTATTAGAAGGCTGCGTGCTCAGGCTGGGCGTAAACCGGCGATGTGCCCTTGTAGCCCAGAAAGCCAACCGTATCCTGGGCTGCATAAAAAGAATTGTGGCCAGCGAGGCGAGGAAGGCGATACTGTCCCAATACTCTGTGCTGCTGAGACATCACCTGCAGTGCTGCATCTAGGTTGGAGTTCTCAGTACAAGAGAGACATGGAGTTGTTGGTGTGCATCCAGAGGGCCACAGAAATGGTCCAAGGGCTGGAACACCTCTCCTATGAGGACAGGCTGAGAGCTGGGGCTGTTCAGCCTGGAGAACAGGAGGCTCCAGGGAGACCTGAATGCAACCTTTCAATATCTGAAGGGGTTCTGTAAGAAAGGACAGATTCTTTAGCACGGTCTGTTGTGATAGAGCAAATGGTTGCAAACTAAAAGAGGCGAGATTTAGGTTGGATATAAGGAAGAAGTTTGTTATGATGAGGGTGGTGAGGCACTGGCACAGGTCACCCAGAGAGCTGGTCCTGCGCCATCCCTACACATACACCAGGTTGGGATGGACAGGGCTCTGAGCAACCTGATGCAGCTGCAGGTGTCCCTGTTCAGTGCGGGGCACTTGGATTAGATGGCCTGTAAGGTTCCCTTCCAATTCAGATGATTCTGTGATGACATCTCAGCATGAGTTTATTAGGTTCTGAGAGAAAGCAGCTATAATCCCTGAATTAAACAACAACAAAATGCAACCCCAATCCTACCCCCCACCCAAAAACAACGAGCTGCACAGATAAAAAAAAAAAAAAAGTGGTTATGTCAGAAAAATTCAGCTAGAAGTAGATGTATGTTTATCTAGCAAAATCACCACATGGAAAGTGTTGGGGTTTGCTGATATGCAGTATCATTGGTAAGTGAGAGCCTTAGTAAGGCAATGTCACTCAGAAAATAACTGATGGAAATTGCGTCCATTTTTAATGTTAAATCAGAACAGTAATAAAGAATCAAAGCAGGAGTTAGTTGTTATCTTTGTTTATTTTGGAGAGGTTCTTATAAACAAACAATAGTTTCTTTGTTCTTTGAGGAATGGCCCCTTAGCTTCCCTACCACCTTCATGGAGCATCTCCATACTCTGCAGGGATATGAATGTTTTCAGAGCATTTGAAGTAGTCTTTAATTGTATGGAAGAACAGGATTTGATGTGTTACCTCTTTGGAGTTCTGGACGAATACTTCACAAATGGCAGATAACCTCATAAATTTACCCACTTGGGGTTTCAAATCTTCCAGAGTAAAAAGTCCCCCCAAAGAAGCCTTCATTTCCACATGTTGAGTATGCATGTGATTAGGGACATCTCTATTTGAAGTGTAGCTAATAGGTGTTGCTGATGTAAATCATTCTTTATATATCAAGTTCCAGCTTTTCTGAAACTGTTTTAGGATGTAAAAGGGAAAGCAGTGGTAACACTGGCTGTTGCTAATCTTAAGGAGTGCTTTGTAATTATACAGCTTAACTATGTGTGATTGCATTTAACCATTTTTTTCCCCAACAGGGAACAAAAGGGCAAACATTCTATGTATTTTCCCATCAGTATGTCTCAGCTGTTCTTAACTGTGACAACCTGTGCAGCTGAAATGTTAATTTAGCCTTGTTTATGTTCAATTCAGTTTGATTCATGCAAAGTAATACTTCTGTTCACTCTAAGAGAACTGAAAATACTGTTTTCTCACCAGCAGTAATTGGACGGTAATGCTATTTCATCATTCAGCTCAGGCAGCTGTAACATCCCACAGTAAGATTCAGAAATATTTCATAGATGTGGTGTCAGACATCTTTTGGACTATTACTGCACAGCATGCTCCACTGTTGAGTAGATTCAAAACAAGATTCAAAAGCTGGTCAACACAGCTGTCCTTTTCTTACACAGCGCTCTCTCTTGGTTCTTTCACAGCTACTGCAACCTGCTAAGGAGTCCAGTTCAACAGTCCAGCAATCTTGCCATTATCCAAGTAAGTAGTCCCATGGCTCTTATTCAGTAACAGTTTAAATGATAACTGTTGAGGAACCCTTGGGGCATTAGATATTCCACTGGCAATAAGAAAAATGTCTGGGAGTACATACACACTCCTACTACTGAAAAGCATTGCCAAAGTTATCTTTCAGCACAGTGCACCTCTTAATCTGCTTCCTTTTCACTTCCTAGAGAGAATTACATTTAGTAGAGGCTAAGTTACAGGTTACAATATAATTATTTTTGTATAACAACTACTTCTGAATTATATGTGCATGGAACGTTTACAAATAACAAGTATTTCATTTTCTGTTTGCTCAGTTATCTGTCAGTTCAAGATCTTGCATTTCAGAGCCAATCTGAATTTTCTGGGGGGGGGGGGAAGGTGGTGGTACCACAGAAGCACTGTGCAGTTAGCACCAAAGGCACCATCACAGAAGGGGTTAACCTGCTGCCTCCCCATGAACAGGGTATGGCACCATCCTCCTGCAGTTGTGACTTACTGTAGAGCTGGATGAAAACACCACTGAAATGAGAACACTGAAGTATGTGGTATAAATTAGGAATCTTTTTTTTTTTCTACTTTATCGGGTCCTCTTTATGCTAGAATTATAGGAAGTGCTTCAGACTTACCAAAACTTTGAAACTGCCTATTTATTTATTTATTGTGCTCCTAAAAAAAAGGATGGCTAACACTGCAGTGAAGAGATTATAAATACCTGTTGCAACAGCAGGTGCACAAAGTTCTCTCATAATCCTGCTGACCTTGTAGGGCCAAAACCAGAGATGGTATAGCACACAGTAACAGAGAGACTGCTTAGTACAGCTATAGATTGACTTTGGCTTATGACATTTCCTTTGAAGCTGTGATATTGCCTTTCCAAATGCCTGCTAGTCATGCTGAGTATGTGCTGAAGATTAATTGAATCGTTTTAATTTCTTACCTCCCACAGAACATGCACATAAACTGCTGCAGCATTCAGTGGCTTGAGTCTGCTGTGTACACTAGCAAAACGTATTTTATAAAAACACCAACTGAAAGTAGAATTTTCTTCATAAGACAGCTTTTTCATTGGTCTTTAGATGTAAACATAGTAAAAAGAGGGAGGACAGTAAGTATCTGGGTCAGAGATGTTAAACTCATTGACTTAAGCTGAGTTATCTTCATTTAAATATCTACATAAGCAGCTTAGTCAGCAAAAATGTTCAGTATCAGCTTATTCTGGTAACTTGCTTTACTGAGGGTTCTGCACAATTCAGTGATGAAACTAGTTATTTGGGTACATAAAACACAGTGTTAGGCACTACTGAAAATGACCCTTACAATACTATTTTTGTGAAGAGTTGTTTTCAAATGAAAAAATAATTTGTTTTTTTTTAATATCTTGAGATGTTTTAAAAACACTTTGAATCCTACAAACGTCACTATTTTTTACAAAGAACTTGTCACAAGAGTGGAGTCACACAACTGACTACAAAATAATTCATTGACATTAACTTAGATAATATCTTCTTTCATTCATTCAAAGAAATTCATAAGTTATCTGTAGTTCCTATTGCTAAAAAGGTAGTATATGTTCACTACAGTAATTAAAGGGGGAAAAAGGACATGTTTAATGGTATGTTCTTTTCAGAGAAATATTAATTATTTGTGGTGCAAGAGCTGCTTATATGCTTGTCAGAACTAGGGTACTTCCCGGTGCCTTCCATCCACGTAACCATTTTTATTCATTTTTGTCCTCTTTCATCATATATTTATTTTGCTTGATTTCAGACAGAAGCGGGTTGAAGACCACTAACGTTACACTTTTCAGATTATCTAAAAGCACTGTTACTTAGATTCTATTTACTTTACTTCCTGAACTTGCATTGAAACCTTCATCATGCAGCTAGTCGTTTATTCGTAGCCTACCAGCATCCCATAAACTTTACTCTTCTCACTTCTTTACATTGTGGAGTTTGATGAAATCTCTATTTTTAAACACTATCACACAGTCTTAGCCTGTGCTCCCCCCTAAGTTTAGCCCCACAGATAGTGAGGTCTCCTTCTTCAAATCAGTTTACCATCATCAAATATGTCCTTGATGGCTCTCTTAAATATTTCCAGATAATTCTGAGAAGGCAATTGCAAACATCCAGTCTTTTTGTTCTGTAATTATCCTATGTTTTCAAAGGTTTATGCTTGAACATGGATCCAAGTTGAAGGAGGGAAGATTTAGGTTGGATGTTAGGAGGAAGTTCTTTACTAGGAGAGTGGTTAGGCCCTGGAACGGGCTGCCCAGGGAGGTTGTGGATGCCCTGTCCTTGGACGTGTTTAAGGCCAGGTTGGACGGGGTCCTGGGCAACCTGATCTGAATGTGTATGTTTGGTGGCCCTGCTAGGCAGGGGGGTTGGAACTACATGATCCTTGAGGTCCCTTCCAACCCGGGTGATTCTGTGATTCTGTGTGATTCTGTGAACGTATTTTCTTTCTAAACAAAAGAAGACATTTGGTTTAGGTGAAATTACTCTTCACCTTATTTTTCTAAAGTATTTAAAATGTAAGTTTTATCAAAACTGTCAGCAGCATATATTGCACATACAGCTCATTTTTGACAATAATGTTTGTAGCATTTGTTCATCCTACTTTCCCATGTGTGCTAATTGCTGGTGCTGTAGACTGACCTTAAAAAAATACTGCAGAATTGCACACCAGGCATCTTTACTCACGTCTAAACCAAAACTCTCCATCCAAGCCAGAAGCAGAAAAGCCAAGAAGCCATTTCTGAATGCCAGTTCTCTTCACCAAAGAAATCTTACGTAGATTTATTAGTACATGATATCTTCAGCTGTAACATTTGCCTCTTCTGTTTTAGTCTTAATTTTAGGGAAATTGATACAACTAATGGGTATTAGCAGCAAATTCACTGCATGTGCCGTGGCGCTCGCCACACAAATCCAAAAGCAATCTTCAAACTGTTCTTCTAAGATAACAAATTGAAAGACATTTTCCCGAAAATTGGCAATCCTTTCTGTGAGACGGTGAAGTTTTACAGCTGCCATAAAGCCAGTGACTGCAAGAGCTACGAATCCACCTGCAACAAAACAAAAGAAGCATTCACCATTGCTGTCAAAACGTTTTGGTTGTGCTTCAGAGAGACTTAGTAAATACAAAAGTGAGCAAAATGAGGTAGACTTGGGCATGGCTTAAACATCTTCAAAGTGCTTAGCCTTTATTGTTTGGCCAAGCATTATACCAGTGTTTGCAACAAAGTCCCTTTATCAGTGATTGCAAAGACCAACATTTGCAGCTCCTGTAATAAGCTGACTAGGTACAATAAGCTGAAATGCCATCTGACACATCTGTTTCGGTAGATGAGAGTTAACTGCAACTTCATTTTATTCACAAATATTTAAGTCAAGGAGATATTTAGTAAAGCAAGTGGAGTTTTGCTGTTAACATTTTTATTTTTTTTTTAACAAATGTGACCTGATGAAAAATACTGGTAAATTATTTTACCTGCAAGGAAATTCCAAAGGCATATTCCTGTCGGACCCTTAATAGCACGGTAAGGAACTTTTATTGCGTTAAGGATGCAGAATCCAAAACTGACCAGACAAAAGGAAATGGCCACACAAAGGAACATTATTATCATCACATGCAGGCCTGTATTCAGTTTCTTCACCATATGTGGGAAAACTGGCAAGAAAAAAATAATCTATTCAGCGTGTAATTTTTCTTGACAACAATAAAAACAGCACACTATGCTCATACAACAAACTCAAATTATACCTAAACAAGGCTATTTTTAAAGAAGGGTGGTTACCCTAACCATAGTTCATTATGCTTTATTTCTCACTGTTCAGACAAACAGGATATATTCTGCCACAGGAAAAATCCTTCACAGAGGACCTGTGAGTAGGGATTCAGGGTTAAGTACTGTTTTATTTAACTTGTTTAGTTAATGTTTAAATAACCTTCATTTTTTGCTCCAAACTCCTCTTTTCCAGTCTCCCATTTCTGTCCCATGCTTTTAATTTCATCCCTTAGAAGTCCAGAAGTCCCAGTTTCCTTATCCAGTTCTTTGCTGCCTGAAAAAGTGTTGCTCCTGCCTAATTTATTTTTTCATGTGATTCTTCTTTCTCTCTCTTCCTACGGGCTCCAGTGAAATCTACTCTGAATTTCCTAATTCCACAGGTTTCAGATTCCAAATTCCCTTCTTGGTTTCACAACATAATTCTGTGATTCTGTGAAATAAGAAGCCAGAAACTGGCTTACTTTCTCACAGGAAAAAAACCTGGCAGTAAAAAAGCAAAGTATTTAGCTTTATTATAAACCAGCATCAGGGTAGTTGTAAGGATTCTTTTGCTTCTCTTCCAAATCCATGAGCAGTAAGCCTGGTTTAATAAAGAAGAAAGAATCTTCAGGAAGAACATTGCCGTGAGGGCTGCTGACACATTCCAGCTGTGGCTGCCATGCACACAGACAAATGTCTGCTTCCCCAGCTCGTTCCCAGGGCTCGATTCAGATGTCAAAACATCTCACACTAATTTATGTGCCTTAGGACTTCCAGAAAAACCACATGGGTCTCATAAAGATGACGCAGTGCGAATGGAAACACCCCCGGGAGGAGGTGAGTCTAACAGCTCTGTAGGACTACCACGATTTTGATGCCAGTGCTGCAAAGTTTTCAACCTTTATAGAGCTATTAAAGTATTTAAAAGGGAAAATCTCTTGCACATTTGTTTTCCTAGCCACATAGCTGTGTCCACTGCAGTTAATGACCCAATTTTATAGTTCTAACTGGGAAAATTCTTATTAGCATAAGTGAGAGCTTTGTTTGTCCGAGAAGGATAGGATCACATCCTCCAGATATGTATCAATACACTCCATAGTGATGGTGGAATGCTAGGCCTTCCTCTCAGCTTACACTGTAATTAATCAGGAAGTATACTAATGAGTACAGAAAGTTGGAGAAAGATTGAAAAGGGTATTGGCTACCTTTTTTTTTTTTATCATTTTGTGTTACTGCTGCAGATAGAGAGACAGAAATGGGACTGTATTTCTGTATGTCTTGCAAAGAAACAGCAGCTAAGCACAGCAAGAACAACTTTGCCCTGCTTTCCTACTTGCCAGTCGCTTTGGTTACTGAAATGTGACTAATCCACATTCAGCAATGATGTTTTGTCTTCAGAGTTACCAGAAAAGAAGTTACAAACTTCTAAAACATGTTAACAAAGTTAGGAGGATCTGCAATGGAAAATGTCTGCATTGGGACAGATGGAGAAATGCATTAGCGTGGACAGCTAAATACATCTCCACTTCTTAAAAGGAAAAAAATACCACAGGCACACAAAGAAAGTGAGGAGCTCAACAAAGAAGGAAACATTAGAGAAGGCACAGAAATACTAAAGAGCAACACTCATCAGAGGAAAGCTTCAGTTAAGGGGATAGTGTGACTTACAGGGTCACCTTGAATGTACTTCCTTCTATAGCTCAGCCTGGAACACAAGCAGTAACTTTCACTCACTTTTCAAGACTAAAGGGAAGCCCTCAATTGAGCCCTAGGGGTTTTGTTTCTTGATTCCAGGATTATGGAACATAACCAGAGAAAAAAAACTAGCGTGAAATGGTAGAGGGTTTACATACCCACCCAAATCCCAAACCATACAGAACACAAGAAAGCCAGTTTAATAATAATGAATTGCATGCTGCAAGCTCTGCAAACAAAACTGAGTGCCTTTAGAGTTGAACTATAGACATCCAAGTTAGGGATTCAACTACAACTGCACTTACCTGAGAATTTGGAGCGTCGCCCGCCCAGCCCACACTGACGTATTTTGCCGCCTCGAAAGAGTCCATAGTAAATTTCTCCAATGAACTTGACCAGCTCTGGATCTGTGGCATTGACTAATTCAGCTCCTGTTTTGCACAGGATCTTCCCGGTCATCCACTTCGGGGTCCCCATTGCAACAACAATCAAGATAAAAGATGCAAAACTTATTGCAGAAGCCAAGGCAAATAAAGTCTTTTTAAAACAGCCAGGCATCCTAGTGGTCTCAGGGAGTCATCGCCAAGGCCTCTCTGCAGCAATTAAGCACATTCCCAATTTTTTCTGATGCTCCAAAATCCACAACTGAACAGCAGGTATTTTGAAATACATTTCATTATATTTTGAAGCTCCAGAAATTAAACTGCACGGTTAAAAATCAAGTCAAAAAATACATCTTGCTACGACAGCATCCTGAGATGGTTGCAAACATCGGCTTCATTACCCTGCAGCGCCGCGGTGCTTCTTTCTGCCGAAAGTAATCTTATATCTATTGCAAAGCTAATGTTTCACCAGAGGTTTAATTGTCTTGCTCAAATGACATTGAGATCTATACCATAACCACATGGGAAGAAAATGAGGACTAGAATTGTATTTATTTAAGATTATTAAAAGCATAATTAGCTACAAAGCACTACAAGCATGGAAATCGACAGCAGAGTTTTGCTAACGTCTCTGCTGCATGCTCCTCCTGGTGCTTACTCTGTGCCAGCCTAAATGTCACTGCTGCCAGAGCTCACGGGACTGCTAATGTGGCAGAGCACAGGTCTGATGAGGAGCAGCTGAGGGAGCTGGGATTGTTCCCCCTGGAGAAGGGGAGGCTCACAGGAGACCTTACTACCCTACACCTCCCGAAAGGAGGCTGTGGGCAGGTGGGGGTAGGCCTCTTCTCCCAGGTAACGGCGGCAGGATGAGAGGGAATGGCCTTAAGTTGTGCCAGGGGAGGTTCAGGTTGGAAAATAACATAGAAAAAAATAATTGTCCTCAGGAAGGGTGGTGATGCATTGGCACAGGCTGCAAGGGAGGTGGGGGGGTCACCGACCCTGGAGGTGTTTGAGAAACGTGGAGGTGTGGCACTGAGGGGACCTGGTCGGCAGGCACGGTGCTGACAGGCTGGCGTTGGACTAAGTGATCTTACAGGTCTTTTCCAGCCGCAATGGTTCAGTGATTGTGCGTGCCCCACCCGCACACAGCCACGGCCGGGCCGGCTTCTACGGTTACTGCTACACAAGCCCCATAGATCCACTGGTCGATTAATTAATGAATGAACCCTCCCAACGTCCCCGAGGGCAGTAACACAACCCGCCGCTGGGACGTCCACACGGGGGTCCTTCCCCCGAGCTCTCGGAGGCGGGCGGAGCTCTTCCACGACAGGACCTGGCTCCGCTCCGCATGCGCAGGCGGCGCCGGGCGGCGGGGAGGGCCGGGCTGTGCTGTGCTGCGTTGCCGGGCGGGCGGCAGGTTGCTGGCGGCGAGCATGGCTGTGGCGGGCAGGGTGCTGGTGTACGGCGGTAGAGGGGCCCTGGGGTCCCAGTGCGTGCAGTACTTCAAATCCAGGAACTGGGTGCGCGCCGGGCGGGAGCGGGACGGGGTGCGGGGAGGCGGCGGCTGGGCGGCGGGGCGCTGCGTGCCCCGGGACCGGCGCTAACGGCTCTCTTGCCGCGCAGTGGGTCGCCAGCATCGACCTGTCCGAGAACGAGGAGGCCAGCGCCAGCGTGGTGGTGAGAGCCGCAGAGTCCTTCACCGAGCAGGCCGAGCAGGTGGGAGCGCGCGGGGACGGTGCCGCGGTTGCGGGCTGCAGTGGGGTCCCGTTTCCCTGCGGCGCAGGAATTACAACCAATCGCGTTACCGGCTGTGCAGGAAGAGGTGCTGTGCATCCATCAGCCTCCGCCTCGGGTACGGTGGTGCGATGCACGGATCGTGTGGTTAAGGCAGAAGTGGAAGGCAGATATTCAGCTGTTTATTCCTTGTGCTGTCATCAGAATTGTTGTGGAAGCGGCTCTGCAGATCTGGAGCTTTTTGTCCCATGTGCTTAAACGGGACAGTGTGCAGAGAGGTACCTTCGAAAAGAAATGTCTAATAATAATTTAAAAAGATGGTTTATGATGTAGGTAAAGTTGGATCTCTTGATCCTGCTCAAATCAGTTATTTCCAGTGACATCACACACTGTGTGATCTGACTGTCATCTTTAGTTATGTGGTTATTCCGAGTTAATGGATCCTCTTAGTTTTCTGCAGTTGTTTAAATTGTTTTGTGCTGTATTTTTTTCCTCTGGTTACATAGTTGAGTAACTTTAAAGCAATCTTGATATTTACTTCTTTACATTGGCATTTACTCCTTTATCTTCACAGTGGCTTCAGAGTGTTTTTATTCTGTGTTTTGAAGGTGACAGCAGAGATTGGAAAGCTGCTTGGTGAAGAGAAGGTGGATGCGATCTTATGCGTAGCAGGAGGATGGGCTGGAGGCAGTGCCAAAGCTAAATGTAAGCCTGTGCATGTCAGTTTATATGGGAATGAAATCTCAGAGGAGTTGTTAAAAATCGTGGTTATAAAAGTCTGAGATCGTCTTTCTTCCAGAGTCTGGAAGAGGATGCTAGCCTAACAGTACAGAAGAGCTCAATCACAATGCATCTTAGCTCATTTCTGAATTATTGGGGCGTGTTACATTTTTCACTGTTCTCAGAAGAGGTTTTTTTAATGCACCATTTTCTACTGGTGAATCTTGATGCACCATGTAAAGGAGTGCAATGTTATTATCTGTGAACTAACTTTTGACAAGGCAGGCAGCTTCCATAAGATAGCTACTGATAAAGCTGCAGTTGCTTGCTGCAGCTCTCTGAGCTGTTACTATATAATCCAGAGCTGATAACAACTCAACACCACTCTAGAGGACAAAAAAAAAGTCCACAGATTTACAAAACTTTTAAACATGTAATATTCGGAGAGCAATTTTTTGCTTTCCCTACTAGTACAGAAAATAATAATAATAGTGGAAAATGTGTTTTCCTCCCATTTCTCAGCTCAGACATTATAGGCAAAATTTTCACCTATGAAGAGAATGTGAGACGGCATACACAGTTTAATCAAAGCGAATGCATTTCCACAATTACATTATATTGGGTTGTAATAAATATGCACAGTATTGGAAATAAGGTAGTTGGTCATAACCCTGATTTATAGTAGTTCTTCTGGTGGGATAGCAGGGTATCTTGGAATCAAGTGGTCAGCTTACCTCACTGCGTTGCTCATACTTGTTTGTGCTGCGTTCTGAAAAGGATTCTTTCTGAACGGTGGCTAGGCATTTTTGCAGTACCTGCATGGAAAGGAGAAAAAACAATGATGAGTGCTTGAATTTGGCTTGCTTGTGAAGTTCTCCCTGGTTCTAATGGGCTGCTGAAGTAGAATTTGCTCTGTGGTATATAGAGGCACTAGGATGCACTCTTGATATAGTATAGATTAATAGATTAGTACATTTATGCCAACAGATTACTTTCACGTGTGTTGTTCTTGATTTGTGATACAATCTGGTGATAAGAAATATTTTTAACTCTTTTGTCTCTTGGAGTCTTCTTTCTGCATTCTAGTGGAGGTAACTGTATGCAGCCAGTGGGGAAGTTATGGAAAGAGAAATCATGCTGCTACAGAGTGAGAAGGAATTAATGTGTGAATTTTCAGATCCTTGACATAGATTAAAGCAGTCCTTACAAAAATTTGAAAAATTTGGAAGTCTTTGAACTGAGTATAAGCATTAATGGTGGAACTATCCAATGGTTATATATAGTATTTTTTACTTTTTATAAAAAGCAGGTAATTGCCTAGAATACACGCTGTAGAGCTGGGGTTTGACACCCAGAGATGTAAAAGATATAAATTGATATTTTACTCAATGTGTAAGTGAAAAATATCCTTTCAGATATCATTATAGTACTTTGTGTAATACTGTTGCACTATGTGCGATAGGAAGGAAACAGAATTGAGGATCCTTTTTCTTATGGTTACTGTAACTAATTATCTTTCTAATCAGCTTTGTACAAAAACTGTGATCTGATGTGGAAACAAAGTGTTTGGACATCCACTATTTCCAGTCACCTAGCCACAAAACATCTGAAAGAAGGAGGTCTCTTGACTTTGACAGGAGCTCAAGCTGCTTTATCTGGAACTCCAGGTAAAATGCCGTCGTGTATGGTAACTGCTGAGACATGAGTAGTTCTACCTCTGTGCTAATCTCAGCAGCGTTGCTCATGAAGAGTAGTTTCACTCGCCAGTTTCTTGACATCCATTACAAATGGAAATTTGCTGCTGAAATGCTTAATGTAGGTGTAATTTTACAGGTGGCAACACTGAATTTCTTGAAGCTGGAGCACAAACAGAATCAGTATTTAGTTAATAGTTGATATGCATTGGTGAAATGAACTTGGCTAATACAGGATACGGTAAAAAATAATTTGGAAAATAGTGAAGAATAAAAGTACGCAGCAAGCTGTAAGTATAGTGCTTAAAGAAAAGTTAAATCTCTTATTTGCTTTCTAAAAGTCCCTCGCTGCCCACTTTTTCTACTAGTGGTGACTCAGCTGATTCTGTTAGATGTGCTTGTCCTGTTCATGTTCTGATTCCAGTCCACCTGCGCTTCAGGCACAGATAAGCTTGTTGACCTTTAGCTTCGCCCTCCAACCTATTTAGAACAAACTTTTCTAAGTTTTTTTTTTTTTAAATCTCACTCCCATCTGCGTGGGGAAAGAAATCTGGGAACAGTTTAAAAGAAAAAGGCACACAAGTCCACAGGCAAGGAAAGTTTTTTGAGACAAATGCTTCTATTTCCCAATTTACTAATGAGACCTAACAATACTTTGATGAGACATGGCTACTAATGCTGTAAAGCACATCATAAAATTAATGAATGTTCCTGAAAGCCACATCTAAAGTGGTTCAGGAGAAATACGCTGTATTTTCTAGTTAATGATTTACCTTCTAAGTTTACAACTGCATCTGGTATGGTCTGAAGACAAAAGGCTTATTTTATGTGAATAAACAGATGCATAATTTACTGTCTACTACTGACTGACCACCTACAAATGAAATCTTGTGAACTTTGGCAAACTTTCATAATGTCTTTTGGGTCTTTTTGGGAGGTAGGGACCACAACAGAAGAATCAGTGATTTGCTTTCATGTTTTCAACTAGCAGTTTTCAATGAGTCTGGATTAAAAAAAAAAAACAAAAGAAAACCACAAAAAACGAAAAACACAGCAGTGCTTTGGGCAAACACATGCAGCTTATTAACTTCAGGAAGAATTGGGAAAGAATTGTTACTCAACTTTTGCAAATATGACTTGCTGGCTTGTTGTTTCCAGCCATTAAGGAAGGAATCCTCTTTTTCTTGTTTGCTCTTCCCGTGATTTTTTCTTTTTCTGTGTGAGAATGTTGACTTATTCAATGCAAATTGAAGAAAACTGAAAATAATACAATAGCTACAGTAAGTAGTTCAACAGTGATGATTAAGAAACATAGAAAAGGTTAAAGAAGACTTGGTATTTGGTTTACAGAAGAGGGGAATATGATAGAAGTGTAAATATTTTACAATAAAATAAAATGAGGTAGCTACTGCTGAGAGTGATTCCTCCTAATAAATGTGGATATTATACAGTGTATCTAATTGAATATAACAGAAACATTTACGTAATGCAAAATTATCTTTGTACCTTCATTGCAGAATGCTTCCTCAGGTACTTTGAAAAGGAGTTGTACAAAGATGTAGAAAGTCATCCAGTTGGAGTAGACAGAATACATTTATCTTTTTCCTATGTGCTTAATCATGTCATGTCTAGGCTGCTTGGCAGGTGTGTACCATGAGACAGCTGAGATCTGAGATAAGGAGCTGAGTAGCTCCTTATTGTCCAGCTCTTGTACTTGAGCAGTACACTGCATGCTCTCATTCCCATACATCTTACACTGCTGAGTACTGGCTGTCTAAAAAGCAGCAGTGTCCCGAAGAAGCTGGATTTACATGCAGGTTGTTTAGTTGCATTCTTCCAGGACTGGGTTTTCTGCTTGTTAGTTTTTTGTAGCTTTGTCCAGAGGGCCCGTCAGAATTAGGATGCTGCTGCAGTGAATTACTGTTCTGGAGAGAAGTGTGCTGTAGCTGCTCAGGTCCAAACCTGTAAATGCTTCAATCTTGTGCTCAAAGCTAACAGGTGATTGCTTGATTAAAGTCATTGAGTCTCTTCACACCTAGAAAACAGCAAAACTAAACTAGTAAGGTTAACTCTGTTGGTCCTTCAGGGTATGTTCTGAAGTGTTAATTAAATATGTTGAAAGCAATAAGTTTGTCAGTTCTGTAATGCTCAAAGCTTTTTTGTTGTTCCTGGATGTCTATTAGGATTTGGGTTGGGTTTGTTTTTCTTTAATTATATTTCTTTATGTTTTAAATCTGATTCTGTTCTGGCTATGGTAAGTGATTTAAAACTTATTATTAATTAAATAATGTGAGTTTGTGTCATACTACTGATGGCATTGAGAACTGTGCTTTAGTTTTCCTGTTTTTTGTTGCTAGGGATGGTTGGCTATGGCATGGCTAAAGGAGCAGTGCACCAGCTGTGTCAGAGTTTGGCTGGTGCCAATAGCGGTTTGCCATCTGGCTCTGCTGCTGTTGCTATTTTACCGTAAGTGCTTGAGTAGTTACCTCTGCCTGCATGGTTTGATTACTGCTGTAACCTGGTGTTCCACTGGTGTGGTTGTGATGTCCTGTCCCCGCTACTTCAATAGCTTAGACTGAGAAGTGTCTTGAACATACGAAAGTAGCAGTCCACAAGTTGTCCTAACAGTGAATAACTTTTTTTCTGTAGCTGTGCAAAACAGTAGTGGGTGTTGGGGTTAAAATTTGATTCAGCTTTAAACATTCTAAGGGTAGCCAGCTATTAACGTGTAACTTTTTCAGTACAGTCAGAAGATGAAAAGGACTGTTCAGCACAATTTTAGACTGAATTGTGTGATTATAGCAAAGAAAGGATTACTGGACAAGTTTTTGCTTGGATGAAGATATGAACATTTTCTACAGAAGCACCTGGGATTGATCAGTATTGAGGTTCTGCAAGAAAAAGAAATCTAGCTTGTATTTGCCTGTCATAGCTATCTTTTTGATGCTTTGAGGAAAAGTTAGTAAAAAATGAGTGGACCGGTAGGTCTTCACCATATCAAAGTCCATTGGTATTGCTGCAAGAATTATTTATCTTGCCAGCTTCATACCTGGAGCCAAAACTTAAGACTAAACAGTTCTGTATGGGTATTTGGAAAGTTGCCCAAAATCTAGCAGCATGTTTTCCTCATACGCTTACTGTTACGCACACTCCTTCAGGTCAGAAAGCAACAGTTCTGAGAGTGCTGGGATCACTAACGCAGTGTTCTGCAGAGCTTTGCAGACAGGCAGACACCAAGAACACTGCACTTTTGGCCATTCTGGATTTGCATAGGTCTCCTGTGAAACCCTATGCTTGAGTGAGTTCTTGAGAGTAATTATACCCTGTGTTGTCCCCAGCATAGCAGTAAGACAGTTCTGAAGACTTCAGCCTTTAACGTCATGAAAGTCAAAACTTACTGGTCCTGTGCACTCACTTGAGCGAGCTGCAAGTGCAGAGATTGAGGGCAATAGCAGTAGGGCGCGTGCTGTGTGATACAGATGGACAAGAATATTACTGCTACGGACTGCATGAGAGAGGCTGGGAGGGAGCTGTGTGCAAGGTTGTAGGCCTGGTGGGCTGGATGTCATCAGCAAGGCAGGGAGCTAAGGGGTTATAGGCTCTAGCCTTTGATGTACACTGAAACTGATAGTTATATGCTGTTAACATGTAGAGAAAACAAGGGAGATCTGTACTGCGTGGTATAAAATTCAAGCATATGTTACAACAATGAAAAGAAGCAGGTGGCTCTTATCAGAAACATGATGAATAAATAAAGGTTTATCTTGTTTTAATCACAGAGTTACCTTGGATACACCAGCGAACAGGAAATCAATGCCTGATGCAGATTTCAGCTCTTGGACATCCTTAGAATTCATTGCTGAGTGAGTATGCTTGTGATAACTAAGCAATTCTTACTGTCACTTTTGCTGTTGCATCTTCCTGCCTGCTCTTTCTAAATGGCTGTCATGGGTTTGGGCATTTTTTCCCATAATTTCCCTGATTCTGTAGGTCTCCAGATGACGTTGGGCCTGCAAGCTTCCTTAAATGGAAAAAATTAGCCCAGCTCCATCAACTTCAGCATCTCTACGTCAGTTGCTATGATAAGAGAGCCTTAAGCAGTTGAAATCTAAAGTAAAGGCTCTAGACAAATTAAATTGCAGATGCAGGAGTCAGTAGTTTAGCTTAAAGGTAAACTGCAAATAAGCATGTAAACTTCAACGTTGTTTATTTGTTTTGATATTTTTTATTGCCCACTTTCTGATGTGCTAATCCACTTCTTAAAGCTGGAAAAATTCCTAGTTTTGTTCAGCATAATTCAGTCAGAGGTTTTTTCTGTTTTTTTTTTTGTTTGTTTGTTTGTTTGTTTCTTCTGTTATCCACAAAGGCTGGTCCTGAATAATGTTGCAAAATGCAGAAATTTCAGCTGTAGCTTATTGGACAACAGGCTGAGACTAAAAGACTTACTGTGTCTAATTGCTCTCAGAGAAGTACTGCCTTCTGTGAGGTGATGGGGGGTAGCAAACATTCTGCTGAGGTTGGTCACATAAAAGCAGAAAAGCACGGACACAGTTGTCTTGCCTTTTTGAGGACAGATGTATCTGCCTTCACATATTGTAGAGGACAATGTGTCTTTACTCTTATAAATTTAAAAGCTTTTAAAACTGGCACTGAAATAACATTCACCTTATCACCTTATGCTGATTGCTCAGAGAGTAGTTTAGTGTTGGCATTTGATTTCTTTGTGATGTGAGGTTTTTTTTTTCAGTTGCATGTCAGAGTGGAAAAGTTTTTGGTGCAAGAAGCCCGTGCAGCTGTTCAATGTGGCTGTCTACAAGGGTCCAATCAGTTGATTTCAATTAGTTTAAAAACGTTTCCAAAAAGTTCTGTATTCTAAAAGCCCTAACATCTGTCTGTGTACAAATTAACTTTTGACTTCTAAAGATCATTTTCCTTGTGGGACAATTAGGTTGAATGTTCTGCTTTTTTTAGCTTCTAATTCTCTTAATTTTAAATCTAGCTTTGAAAACTGACATTTTCACTGGTGTTGGAGACAATAATTCCAGTGGTGTTAAACATTGGTACCATTTTCATCTCAGGAAGGATGTTTCTCGTATCGTGTCTGCATTTTGAGGTCTGCTGTATCCTGGAAACTACTCTGTCAGATGGCAGGATGTTCCAAAATGGTAGCTACTAAGTCTGCAATGACGGAAAGGTTGATGGACCTGAAAAATATTTTTTTAATTAATTTTGCTAAGAAGTGCTCTGGTGTGCTGTCCAGAATGAGCCCATCTCACTTGGCGTATTTTGGGTATCTTAGACTTTCTGTGCTTCTGCCAAGACTTCTTTTTCACACTTAAGACGCCTTGTTGGCAGAATAATGGGTTAAGAAAGAAGAACTTGAGAAGATAGGTTGAAAAGTAAGGGATGCGTGAGGAGAGAATAGGAACAGAATGCAGAGATATGGGGATGAAAAACCAATCATTTAATCTGCAACTTTTAACAGCTCCAAGGTTTACCAACCCTATTTTAGCCATGTCTGTGTTTATGATGTATGCTATAAAGGCAACTTCTGTAGCTCCTGCCTCCCCCTTTCAGTGTATTTACTTTTTCAACTTGGGCAAACCTTTGATATTTGAAACACCTGGCCTTTTCCTTTGAGATGTTCTGAAAATCCCGTGTGTGCTGTATAGGGCTTTTGATTTCTCCAGATCCCCATCTGACTGAAGTTCTGAATCTGATGATCACATTGGCAGTGTTTGACGTAATGTAAAAATTGCTACAGGGGGAAAAAAAAAAAAAAAAAAAAAAAAAAAAAGGAAAATAATTGGGCCTTTACTTTATACTTCCTGTCGATGTGTCTGATAGTGTTTTTTCTTTTTATTTTTATCCTCCCCATCCTATTTTATCTGTTTACTTAAAAATAGAACCTTTTATGACTGGATAACAGGAAAGAATCGACCGAACTCAGGGAGTCTAATCCAGGTGATAACTGCCAAAGGGAAGACTGAACTCGTTCCAGCACATCTTTGATGTCGGATGCTTAAGACTGGAACTTCAGCAAAGGAGAAGCTATGGAAAGTCTGTCTGCCAGCATAATTTGAGTGCTCATGTGTATCCAGTGATTGTAACGATGTCATTATTGGAATCAAATTTCAAGTAATATTTCTGTGCTGTCCATTGTGAGCTATCTGTGCTTATTTACCAGAAAGTATCAAGCATTTGTCTCTAAATTGAAGCTGCAGGCTTTGGAGTCTGTAGATGTCCCAAATCCTGAGCATTATATGGTCATTTCTCTGAAATGGGAATTGCATTAATGTTGTGTGATCTCATATGTAATGTTGGTTACTTTTCTCAGTCAGTGTTTCTAGCAATTTACCGTGAATCTGTCAGTTGTCTTTTCTTTCTCTGTCTGGGAATATAGCTCTACCCCTGCTACTATGTTGGCTGCAGTTATAGGAAACACTGTGATCGTATGTCCTAGTCTTCTAACACTTTTCTTCTGTATGTTCTGCTGGAGTTAGTGGAACTCTATAGGGATTAGTAACTTGAGGAGTTCCTAATTTGCCTTACAGTGTATAAACTGCTGTCAGGCCTACAGTTGTAGGATGAAACAGCAGTTTTGCCAAACGCCTTTGTGTTAGTACATAAATACTAGGAAAAAGTGTACACTTCTATTTGAACATGAATATTTTGTGCTAAATAAATATATATTGTTTTACATATTGAACTGTAATCCAAACATTTGTAATATTTTGTTAGCTGAATTTACAGTTCAGAAATGGCAAAAGAATTCATATTTGTCTTGCTTCCTTCCGATCATGCTGCGTAAAGTAGGCTTGTGTGTGATGTAGTAGGGATGCAGAAGGTCTGCTAATCATGCACAGGGGCAGGCCTTCAGATGGAGAAAATGTGTTCCTTAATCCAGCTACATTATGTGGGAAGTTTGATTGCAGAATGAAAGTATTGCTGCTGCTTCTGAGCACAGGCTTTCATGGAACCAACATGAAGGTTTTTTTGGGAACATTTTGAAAAATGAACACATGAAGTTGTATCAAACTATGTGCTTAAAAAAAAAAAAAAAGTTTATTGCATTCTGGGTTGTGTTGAGCATAGATCTACTGCCATCTATCAGGAAACATTTCCCCACTTCCCAACAGAAAAAAACTTACATGTGTCCATGCCAGTTTCAGCAGATCGGACGGCTGTGTGATTGCCTCTTATTGTATGACAGTCCCTTTACTCCTTTTGTTTTTCTGGAGAGCATGGAGGGGAAATCTGATTTCCTGTCAAATCAGTTAAGAACTGTCAAATGATGAAGCTGCTTTTGTTCTTAACTGGATGACTATCAACCATTCTGTTTGACTTGCAATTTCTTCAGGCTCAGAGTGCAGATAAAAATGGCAAGGCACTGATGAGGAATGAAACATAAGGTGTTAGATACTATTCTGGGGAACTGAAGAGTTATCATACTACACACTTACGTCATTTGAAGGCTTCTCTTTGCTAGCTAAATTTCCAAGTTGCTTTCAGTTTGCTTGTGTTGCCTTCTTGCAAATTTACTGAATTGGGTCTCAGAAGTTCCTTCAAAGAACAGATCAAACTTTGAATTGGAAACACAGCTGGGCTCAGGTGTTTTTGTAGAACATGCTGTGAGAGGAGACGGTAATGCGGTGAATGGGACTTAAGACATGAACAGAGAACCTTTTATTTGCTAGAGGCTACAAGGGCTCTTCAAGCATCTTTGAATTACAAACACATACCTTTACTTTAATGTTGTTATTAACCTGGTGAAAAAAGGCAATGGATTTTTGTCATGTGGCAATAGAATTTGAAGGTCTTAAATAACCGACCCTGAGATTATACAGGGGGAGAGATGGAAATTGTCTTGTTTTGCTGAAGAGATCAAAATATCAAAAAAAGAAAATGATATGGGATCCATTGCACAGATTATTTTCTCCATTGAAAAGATCTGGTAGTCTTGATAGGAAAACCTGGAGCAAATCTGTTGTTTATCCTTAGCTGCTTCAGGTGCCAGTGTCAGAGCTTGGAAAATGAGTGGTGTGTACGCTATGCTAGGGAGAGGGTTGCTAAGCCTGTGGGAAGGAAACCCATCAGCTGCCTCTCCCCCACACCAAGGTGTATGAATGGACCAGCGTGGGTCTAGAAGATGAAAAGCTGTGTCAGGATAGCGTTGAAAATGAAGTGTCACTAGCCCTTGGAGCTTCCAGTGCAGAGCCCTGAATCCATCAGGCACTGAACCAGCTACATGTACTGCTTTCTTTCCTAGCTAATTAAATGAGAGGTCCCAGTTACTGTAAGATTATCTGTGTAAGCTCATGAGATGCAATAAATCCTTTTTGAACGTGAATGTAACAACAGGTACATCTGCAACAGAGCTTCCCTTCTTTCACTCTTGCTTTAAGGAGGAAGAATGGTAGAAGATGCCTGTTGTACAAAAGGCGTCCACCTCGGTGTCCTCACTCAGCTTGTGCTGGGTAAGAAGTGGTGATACATCTAATAGGAAAATACAGTATGTTGGCTGTAGCAGTGGGAGAGTGGTGAAATATGCTAACTGAAATGCTTGTATTAAGCAGATTAATATACCAGTTTTATATTTAGCATAATACAGCTGGTGTCATGTTCAAAAATTCACATGTATAGAGCCGGTTTAGTAAGGCACATTTTTATACAATCTTCTGATGATGCATAATAATACTTATTGAAGAAGTGAACTCTGGAGAAAAGTAAAACCCAAATAATACCATGCAGATCAGTCCTGCTCTCATGCTCTAAGCCTCTTCATTCTTGTCCTATAGATGTAGCAATCTACCCCTTGTTCTCAGAAAAAGAATGTTTACAGATCTGAGCCAAGGTGCCTTTAAAAAGGTGAGGCAATTACATGGTACCTTCATGTATACACAGGTGGGTTACTCTGAATTGTAGCAAGCTTTGACACAGTAGCACTGGGTGTAGATATACCTCTTAAAGTATAACTTCTCCTGAATTCCTTGACAGCACGGATGGGTCCAATGTACGTAAATCTTTTTCTCCTACAGGTTTAGAAAATATCAATTTTAATAAAGAACAAGTGCAAAATAAGATTGTATGGAAGAGCATCACTGAAAATCAAAGTATCTGAGAATACTGAATAATAAGCTGTTTTAAACATTTCTAGATGAGAGGGCGAGAACTTGAGCTGCTGTTCAGGCTGAGCCCTCCATCTTGTGAACCATGATCCATGTACAGACCAGTTGCTTTACAGAAGCTTTGGATCACTGCAGGGCTGCATCTGAAATGCTTTCATGTTTCACTATGAAGTCAGTCAGTGATAAAGAATATTTAGAATTCACTTATCAACAGGTTTAACTAGTTTTTCCAAGGTGTATTTTTATGACAAAATCAGCTTTCTGCAAATTGGCTAACAACAATTGCCACAAAGTGAAGATTGAAAATTATGCTTTGCACGCAAATAAATGATCCCCCCTCAACATCATGAAATGGTTTTGAATATGATGGTATCTGAGTGAGTTAGCAGGTGCAGTTCTAAATTAACCTAAAATTGCACAGTGAAATCATTTGTTTAAATAATACATTATACTAAACCAGCACTTTTTCTTTTTCCTTCCAGTAGTGAAATGGAAAAATAGAAACCCCCACCTTAATAAAAAGTAGCCCTTATTTTTGTATTTGTTCTTCCCTTCAATGGCTGCGTGGAAAAAAAACAGATGGAGACTATAATGGTACGCAAAGATGCATCAGTCTAACCTTTGTGGTGCTGAACAATGTGAGAAAGGTAGACAGACATCTGAAAAGCATTGCAGAAGTCAGTACAGGTGTCAGCTGAGATTTAGATCCCTGTCAGACACTGTCATTCCTACAGTTCCTGAAGCACCATGCTTTAAAGGATTTGCTTCATAAATACAGCCGGTCTCCATCACAGTCTGTGATGACTCTTCTGGGTTACGATCACAGACTGCCACAGCTGGGTTGAGACTGATCTTCAAGAATGCCAGTAGAGGGCAGAAACTTCCAATACATCGGGGATATTTCTTTACTGAACATGCAACACGTTCTTTTTGTCAGGATATTAATTGTGCCACAGTCTCTATTGAGGGGTTCATCTTCCTTTCTTGCTTTATTGCCCAAATATCATGGCCTTCTGTACACTTCAGTACAAGTAGGAATGTTACATGTCCTGCATCCAGAAATTCTGAAAAGCATTCCTTCTGTTTAAAAACAAACAAGCAAACAGAAAAACCCTCAGTGATTGCTGTTCTTCCATTCCAAGAAGACAGACAAGAGGCCCAGGCTGTGAAAGGGGTCCCACATCAGAGTGGAGCATTACTGTTGATGTGTTATCAGCAAGTGCATTGTCAGTCAATATTCTGATACATAGCTTCAAGAGCTTGAACAGAGGAAGAGTGATAAAATCCTGTGCTGGGCTTAAGGATTATAAGAACCCATGAAATTTTCTATTTATCTCCTATTCCCTAAATCTGACTTCTTTTCACACAAGACCAGTATTAAACAGGTGGAACTTGCAAACAAAAAGTTAATCAGTATACAGTTTTAAATGTAAAAGTTTTAACTCCTTTACCTGCAGAATGAAAGGATAGGATTAAAAAAAAAGTAGCAAGCCATATGACTGTCATTTCTATAGCTGAATATTCATTATTCAGTGTCTCATGTAGATAAATGAACTACACTGCTAATCATAGTACTTTTCATCTATGAATTTCCTTTTAAATACAGTTACTAAATAGGTACTTCAGAATTCTTACAAATGAGAAGGATACCCAGAGACTGGAGTCCCTCAATTCTGTTCCTGCTCTGGCTACTGGTCTGCAGGAAGATTTCAAACACATCTTTACATCTGTACCTGCTGCTTTATCTCCCAGACATATAAAAGATGATTTTAAAGTGCTTTGAGATCCACAGATGAAAACTAGGACGTATGAATGAAATACAATTCTCTCTTCACAATTGCAATACCAGAAGTTGAAATTCTCAGCAAGATGTGGCTGAGTAAATAACAGAAATGCAGCCCATGCTAGATGCTTGATGCACACAACGTAACATGAAAGTTAGGTTTTTCATGTAAGACTGTACAAAAACAGCACATGGAAGAAAGGGACCTCTTTGACCTCCAAGTAAGTAAATTTTCCAGCTCATTCTTGCATGCTCAGACTCACAGTTTTTTTTCCTGCGCTTTTCATGTGAAGAGTGACCAGACCATTAAAAATGCCAGCTGTTAGTCACCTACATCTGTATTATCCCAGACATCAGGGAACAGCCACGTACACCTAAAATAAATGCCAAGGAGAGCATATGCTCTTATCACAGATTTGTATGTGTTGGAAGGGACCCTTAATTACCACCTTGTCCAACTCCCCTGCAATAAACGGGGACATCTACAAACAGATAAGTTGCTCAGAGCCCTGCTCAGCCTGACCCTGTGTGCCCTCAAGAACAGGGCACCCACCACCTCCCTAGGCAGCCCATGCCGGTCTTTCCCTATCTTCCTTTATCATAAAAACCATTTTCCTTGTAGCCAATCAAAATCTCTTTGAGTTCGAAACACTCTCCCCCTGTCCTATCACAGCAGATCTTACTAAAGAGCTACCTACTAAAGAAAGAAAGGAATCACTTCCTTTCTTACAGCACTCCTTTAGATACTGAAAGGCCGCAATAATAGCCTCATGTGTACATTGCACTAACAAAGTAGATCATCCAGCCGGCAGAGAAGAACTACTTCATGCACATTACCTGAAAAAAAATGGCTTTAATTTTTGTGAATAACAACTTTTTGTTATTATTCTTGTTTCTTATCCCAAAAACCCCCAAACTTCCTGTTTGCATGCCCATCTTCAACCAAAGCGTTATCCCACTAACCTTAACACAATCTGTGGAGTTTGTGAGTGTGGAGACCATGCTATTAGCAATATGATGCTACATAAAAGCATAAAGATGTGTGTTCTCCCCAGTCTCAGCCTTCCTGTTTTTGCTGCTACACTCTCTCAGCCCAGATTGGTTGACTGCACCATCAGGGCCACAGCTGCACTCCCCTCACAGCTGCCCCTTCCCTACACAGGACAGTAGCAGCCCCTCAGGTGCTGAGGCAGCTGTTCTCCTCGTGAAAACCTGCATTGGATTTTGATATCCCTTCTGGGGGAGGTTGCTACCAGGATCTTTCTGAACAAGGTTTGGGCCTGGAGGTTTGTTTCCAGCAGTGCTTGAGCTGGCTGGAAGGGGTTGCAGCCTGCCCCAGCCAGCTCCCTAACATGGCTGCCGTGCCCCACTGCTCTATACCTTTCCATGCTGCAGAGGCAGGGAAGAATACCACAGGAAATGGTTAAAAAAGGACTGCTTTGGGAGCCTTGTGAGGAACCAGCAAGGTGAGTTTTTGATTTTTTTTTTTTTCTTCTGGTCACAGGATGAGTTAAAGATGAAGTGGGGCTTACAGTGTATGCACCACATTACTGGTGTAGGGCATTGCTGTGCTGGTGCAGGGAAGGGTGTGAGTCACACATCACAGAAATATTCTGAATGCTGGATAAAGGGTCTGAAAGTCATGTGGAAGACATACAGAGAGGAAAGTAGGCATGCAGTTATGTATTCTCTCACAATGCTTTTTCCTATGTTTATCAGTAAGTGGAATACTGTGTGGGCTCCAGTAGCCACCAGGTGATGCAAACCGTGTGTGGAGGCACTCAGATGGCTGCGAGCTCTGACCGTAGGCCAGTGCCACCAGGGTGGTGAGAAGGTTTTTTGAGAGAGGAGGAGTGGAGTTCTCAGGCATGGCAACAATTAATTTCCTTGTGAACGTCTGATATCTTGATATCTGATGCCTTTTGAAATGCTGTTTCAATTTGAAAAACTCAAAAACTCAAAAACAAACAAAAAAAAAAGCAGAAATTGTCACCCTTGAAATACTCATGCTTCAGTTTCAGTGTGGGCTGAATTTTCAAGTGAGTATTTTTTTTGTTATTCTTCATACTTAAAATCATAGACTCATTTGGGCTGGGAAAGCCTCCATGGTCAAGTCCAGCCATCAAATTCCAAGTTTCTAACTTGCCAGAACCACTGCACTTTGGCAGATTACTTCCTTCCAGTTAGCAAATGACCAAAAACACTGGACTTCCAATGGGGGAGGGAGGGTGCCTCATGTTCTTCTGGATCAGGAGTTAAGTGGTTCCAGTTGATACTTCCCATTTGCAGAGATATCAGTTGCAGCAGCTACAATACAGTGACTTGGGTGGGCACCTTCTGGAAGACAAACTTCTGAACACTGTAGCAGATGTGAGTTATGTTCCATAGTTAAAATCATTAATTTCATCTGTTCCCTGGGGAACAGACTAGAACAGAGCAGTTGCTTTGCACAG